CTTCTTTGGTTGCCCTGCACAGGAGAATGGAGCTGGAAAGCAGGTTAGTGGGGTGGGGAGGGAATGGGGATTTTGCAGTAACCTTCCACCAGAAGTGGGGAGGGAATGGAGATGTTACAGTACCCTTCTCCTGCCACACCCACCAAGCCACGCCCAAAGAACCAGTAGTAAAAAAAAAATTGAATCCCACCACTGGATGCAATCTGGGTCAATCCCTGGGACAACAAGTCCAAAAGCCTTCTGAACTTTCGGACTCATGCTGGAGCCGATCCTCACACAACTTGCCTTTCACTAGAACTTCTCTTTCACACATTCTGATGAGAGAGAGAAGTTCCCTGAGGACGGGCTACAGCACTAGTCTAAAGACTAAATCTCTGGTCCCAGTGACATTATCCAGGAACCGCTGCATCATAAAGAGCATCTTAACTTACTGCACCTGTGTTTAGTTTGCCAATTGCACAGGGGCAGATAGGAAAGCACTCCAGAGGGTGAACGTCATTGCCCAGAAGATCGTTGGTTGCCCTCTCCCCTCTTTGGAAGAGCTTTATAACTCCTGCTGCCTTAAGAAAGTTCAAAAACATTCTCAAAGATCCATCTCATCCTGGGCACCCTTTTTTTTTGAACTGTTACCATCTGGCAGACGGTACCGGATAATAATAAAAACAAGGACAAATAGGCTGAAAAACAGCTTCTATCCCAGGGCAGTTGCTCTTTTGAATTCTACTGTATAGTGCAATATTCATGCATTATCAGGGGTTTTCAATTTAATGGCATAGAATGCGAAGAATGCATGTTTGTGTTTTTATTTTTATAGTTACAATACACACTGAAGATGGCATTTAATTTCATTGTACGAGGTACAATGACAATAAACTAAACTAAATGAAACACATACTGAATTTGCCTTCCCTCTTGAGAGAAGGATGTGTGTCTTGACTGCCATCTAGCGTGTTCTGACCAGAATCTATAACTCATGTCTCTCCCGCTTTGCTTTTCTGCAGGCAGAAAGCTTTGGCATCGACGGGAGGTCGAAGTGTGCAAGCAGCTTGTGACTGGTGCGTATGAATTCATGTATTATGAAATCTCGAACATTGCCAGTATTGTGGGAAATAAAAAAAAATTCCCTTGGCCCTGGAAATTTTCCCTGGTGTAGGCAGACATGGTCCTCTGGCATTGATCTGTAGCTACATCCGAAGCAATTATCTCTCTGGCATCTCACAGATAAAAAAAATAAGATCAGGTTTTATAACTTCCCCTAGGCTGGAACACCATTTGCTATCCAAATCTACTTGCATTACATACTATTATATATTCTGCTCAGAACTCAGCACCTCCTGGCCTGGTCTTTAGACTCAAAGGACCATCCAAGAGCTTTTCTTGATGATAGGGATATTAAAAAAAAAATCCTAATATGTAAATAAAATAAATATGAGGAAAAAGGGTTCTACCAGAGCAGTGTTTTTCAAATTTGGCAACCTGACCAGCAGGAGCCCAAGTGAAACATTTTAGGTAAAGGTAAAGGGTTCCCCTGGCACATCCGTGCTAATCATTTCCGGCTCTAGGGGGCGGTGCTCATCTCCGTTACAAAGCCGAAGAGCCAGCGCTGTCCAAAGACGTCTCCGTGGTCATGTGGCCGGCATGACTAAACGCCAAAGGCGCATGGAACGCTGTTTCCTTCCCACCAAAGGGGTCCCTATTTTTCTACCTGCATTTTTTAACGTGCTTCCGAACTGCTAGGTTGGCAGAAGCTGGGACAAGTAACGGGAGCTCACTCCGTGACGCAACGCTAGGGATTCGAACTGCCGACCTTTCTGATCAAACAAGCTCAGCGTCTTAGCCACTGAACCACCACGTCCTTTTAACATTTTAAGAGGTGCTAATTCCCAGAATTCCCTAGCCAGTATTGTGAGCTGGAGAATTCTGGGAGTTGAAGTCCATCCATCTTAAAGTTGCCAAGGGTCTTCCCTGACTCCTCCTTTCAGTCTGGCTGGCATTTTCCCACAACACCCTGAACCTTGATGGGACCAGATTCCAAATTATTGAAAAAAAAAAGGCAGGTAATAGAAACAGCATCCTCTCTTGCGGTGCCCGTATTAATCTGGATTTGTTCCATGGATCTGAACGGACCATCCGTCCCCTCTGTTTTTTCATTACAGGCTCTTTTCCCACGTCTGTGATCCCTTCCTTGATGATCCGCTTCCTCGGGAATACGTCCTCTACTTACGTCCCACTGGCCCCTTAGCGCGGAAGTTGACTGACTTCTGGCAGCAGTCGAAACAGTTGTGTGGAAAAAACAAAGCCCACAACATCTTCCCCCATATCACACTCTGCCAGTTCTTCATGGTGAGTCTGGAGCGGAGCACCCAGATTTTCTCCCGAATTGGCAAACACAACTTTTGAGGTCCTGCATCCAGAGGTGGCATTCAGCCAGTTCTGACCAGTTCTGGAGACCTGGTAGCGGAAAATTTGAGTTGTTCGAAGAACCGGCAAATCCCACCTCTGACCCCCATCTCTTCTCTGCCTCCCATTGAGTCCCAGCTGATCGGCTGGGTCTCCTTTGTTTGCCCTGCACACGGAGCTGGAAAGCAGGTTAGCGGGGTGGGGAGGGAATGGAGATTTTGCAGTAACTTCCCCCAGGAGTGGGGTGGGAATGGGGATTTTACAGCATCCTTCCCCTGCCACGCCCACCAAGCCACGCCCACAGAACCCGTAGTAAAAAAAAAAATTGAATCCCACCACTGTCTGCATCTCACCTTCTCATGGGATATCTTGCAGTGTGAAGACAGCAAGGTGGATGCCCTCTGTGAAGCACTGCTGGCTACAGTGACGCGGTGGAGGTGCAAGTTCCCAGTTCCTTTGCCTCTGGAACTCTATACCTCATCAAACTTCATCGGTCTCTTCGTTAAGGAGGATTGTGCGGAGATCCTGAAGAAATTCGGGGCGGACTTTGCGGCGGAAGTCACCGCTAAAACTGGTGAGCATGGAGTGGAATAACAGAATGACTCTTCCCATTTAAACCCTGTGTCAACTCGTAAACCATTTCTATGCATGTCTTCAAGGGGCCATAAACAATGGGGAGGGGGGGCTGGAATCAGAAGGAGCAGTAGGGCAGTTTAAAACCAGATGTACATTCCACCCTTATCTTAAAAAGATTGTAGCTAGGCTACCGGATTTTCTGCCTGGGAAAATCCTTCATTGGAGAATTTGATTGATGACATCCAGCCAGTGGATGTGCTTTATTAGAGAATCTGATTTATGATACATCGGGGGGGGGGGGGGAAGGGGGACAGGTGACTGTAAATTACATATGCCAGAGTTGGTTTCATTTCGGTTAATGCTGGCATGTGGCTCTTAATAAATCTTTTGAATTCTTCTGAAACTTGGCTGGAGGCTCATGATTTAATTAGGGCAATCACCGGAACCCTGATAACCTGCTTAAATGATATGCGCTGGTGCCTTTGAAATGGCTTTCCATGACCTCAGGTAGACATGCTTTCCTTGATGCCTCCTCAAAGCCAGTTTGCTTTTGACAAGGGATCTTGAGGAACCCAAGGAAGGGTTGGCCTTGGAAAGATCCCAGAAACAGAATAACAGAATTGGAAAGGACCGTGGAGGTCCTTTAGTCCAAGCCACCACTCAGGAAGGAATCCCCATACCATGAGCCATGGTAGCGCAGTGGTTAGAGTGCAGTACTGCAGGCTACTTCTGCTGACTGCCAGCTGCCTGCAATTTGGCAGTTCGAATCGCACCAGGCTCAAGGTTGACTCAGCTTTCCATCCTTCCGAGGTGGGTAAAATGAGGACCCAGATTGTTGGGGGCAAATAGGCTGACTCTGTAAACCGCTTAGAGAGGGCTGTAAAGTACTGTGAAGTGTTTTTTAAGTCTAAGAGCTATTGCTAGTCCTTCCTTCCTTCCTTCCTTCCTTCCTTCCTTCCTTCCTTCCTTCCTTCCTTGTTGATGCAGTCGCTAGAATGCAGTATTACAGACTAATTTTGCCAACTGCCAGCAATTTGATCCTGACTAGATCAAGGTTTACTCAGCCTTCCTCCTTCCAAGGTTGGTAAAATGAGGAGCCAGATTGTTGGGGGCAAGAGGCTGACTCTGTAAACCGCTTAAGAGAGCGCTGTAAAGCACTGTGAAGTGGTATATAAGTCTAAGAGCTATTGCTATTTTTTTCCTTTCCTTTCCTTCCCTTCCCTTCCCTTCCCTTCCCTTCCCTTCCCTTCCCAGTGGTTAGAATGCAGTATTGCAGACTAACTCTGCCCACAGCAGCAGTTCGATCCTAATTGGCTCAAGGTTGACTCAGCCTTTCATCCTCCCGAGGTTGGTAAAATGAGGAACCAGATGGTTGGGGGCAAGAGGCTGATTCTGTAAACCGCTTAGAGAGGATTGTGAAGCATTATATAACTCTAAGTGCTATTGCTATTTCAGAGAAATGGTTGTCCAATCTCTTCTTTAAAATCTCCACAACTTCTGAAGGCAAGATGTTCCACTGTTCTAGGTTGCTTCTCTCCTTGATTAGTTTCCACCCATTGCTTCTCATCCTACCTTCAGGTGTTTTGGAGAATAGCTTGACTCCCTCTTCTTTGGGGCAGCCCCTGAGATATTGGAACACTGCTATCATGTCACTTCTAGTCCTTCTTTTCAGATAACAGATAATCAGAGTTGGAAGGGATCTTATAGGTCATCTAGTCCAACCCCCCACCCAAGCGGGAGAATTAAAGTAAACATAGCTTCTCAGGCAGCTGAATTACAGGTAGTTCTCAACTCACAGCCAAAACTCAGGAACAGAATTTCTATTGTCAAACAAGGCAGTTGTTGAGATGCACCTGATTTTACGACCTTTCCAGCCACGGCTGTTCAGTCAATCCCTGTAGTTGTTAAGTGAATCACACAGTCATTAAGCGAATTTGGCTTTCCCCACTGAGTTTGCTTCTCGGAAACCAGCTAGGAAGGTTGTACAGTGATCACATGACTTTGGGGGCACTGCAACCATCATAAATAAATGTCAGTTGCCGGGTACCTGAATTTTGAACATGTGACTGTGAGGATGCTGTGGCAGTCGTAAATGCGAGGACCCATCATAGGTCACTTTTTTTCAGTAACTTTGTAACTTTGAAGGGCCGTTAAAAATGGTTGTAAGTTGGTTGTAAGCCAACTGTTCAATTTTGTCTTAGTGTATATTAGATTGAGGGAATGCAGCGGTTCAGTGACTAAGACGCTGAGCTTGTCGATCAGATAGGTCAGCAGTTCCGTGGTTCGAATCCCTAGCGCCGTGTAATAGAGTGAGCTCCCGTTACTTGTCCCAGCTTCTGCCAACCTAGCAGTTTGAAAGCATGTAAAAAAAAATGCAAGTAGAAAAATAGGGACTCCTTTGGTGGGAAGGTAACAGCGTTCCATGCGCCTTCGGCATTTAGTCATGCTGGCCACATGACCACGGAGACGTCTTCGGACAGCGCTGGCTCTTCGGCTTTGTAATGGAGATGAGCACTGCCCCCTAAAGCCAGAAACGACTAGCATGTATGTGCGAGGGGAACCTTTACCTTTATATTAGATTGAGAAGGAAAATGGGGGGAAATCCATGATAGCATTGAGTGGTTCCCCTTTCAATAATGCTACCAAAAAGAGGTATTTTATATTCATTTTCGGCTTAGTAACTTCTGGTAACATCTGGTCATCCATAACGCAAAATGAAATGCTGGATCCATCGGACTTCCTGCTGTTCTCAATGATGTGCCATTGACCATCATTTTCCTTCTTGTAGATGTGCATGTGGAACCTCACAAGAAGCAACTTCATGTGACTCTGGCTTATCACTTCCAAGCCAGCCACTTGCCCACCCTCGAGAAGTTGGCTCAGAGCATTGATGTCAAACTGGGCTGTGACTGGGTAGCTGCCATCTTCTCCCGTGACATTAGATTTGCCAATCATGAGGTAAGTTGGACTTGAAGGAACTTCTAAAAACCAGGAAGATGTTCTGAAATCAGGGTTGACTGGTCGGTGGTGCTTCCTTGGCGGTATTATAGAAGTGATTTGTGACTTATTCTGGGTTGGCTTCTTGGCTTCTCGGTTGGGTCAAGAGTCTTTGCTTCCCAATCTTGTCAACAGTCTTAGAATTCCGTGGTGGATTCTCAGAATTCAAATACTGCAAAAGTAGTGAAGTAGGAACAAAAGAGTGGTTTGGTGGCCTAGAAGTGGAGCTCTCGCCTCACAATCAGGAGGCTGTGAGTTTGATCCTAGGTAGAGGCAGATATTTTTCTCTCTGGGCACACTGAGAATATATCTGCTGAACAAAACTACACATTGGCAACAGGAAGGGCATCCAGCCAGTAAAACGCTTTGCTAGCTCCATTCGATTGCCCAGACTTCACTCTGTAAGGGATTATGGGGTCGTTAAAAGATGATGAAGAAGTGAAGTAGGAATATTATTATATTATTTATTTGGGGGTGGGAATTCCAGAAGCTTTAGTCTTAGAATTTCTCCTGAGAATCCATGGTTAGGGGAAAAGTAGAATAGAACATAGAATAATAGAATTGGAAGGGACCTTGGAGGTCTGCTGGTCCAGCAGGAGACTATCCCATTTCAGACAAATGGTTGTCCAGTCTCTTTGAAAGCTTCCAGTGATAGAGCACTCACAATTTCTGAAGGCAAGGTTGGTTGATTGTTCTCACCATTAGGAAATTTCTCCTTGGCTTTAGGTTGCTTCTCTCCTTGGTTAGTTTCCATCCATTGTTCCTTAGTTTCCACCCATGGTTCACATCTTCTGAAGGACCGGAAAAGGGAGCCTAAAGCAAAATATTGACCAGTCAGGGCTCAATTTCTTCTTCTTCTCTCTCTTCCAGACCCTGCAAGTCATCTACCCCTACGCCCCACAGAATGATGACGAGCTTGAACTCGTGCCGGGAGATTTCATCTTCATGTCCCCCGTGGAACAAATCACAACTAGCGAAGGATGGATTTATGGCACTTCGTTTGCCACGGGGTGCTCAGGATTGTTGCCAGAGAATTATATCACCAAAGCCGATGAATGTGGCACTTGGGTTTACCATGGGTGAGTAGTAGTTCCATGTTTTCTAGTATTTTCATGGGGAAATAACCCTAATCCTGTGCAGAAGGGGTAATAAGAACTTTTCTTGTGGATGGGTCTGTGAAGCAGTTTGGTAGGCATACCTTGGGAGGAATTCAAAATAAACTTGTGGCTAGAAGTATGCTGATAGAAGGTCAAGATGAACCTGTGGGTAGATACGTGTTGGTAAAAGGTCAAGATGAAGTACTGATGGAGAAGAACTGATCTCTCTTGGATATTAAAACATCAACCTCTCAGTCTACATCTCATTTAATGGCTATAATTTGGAGTAATTTTTGGACATTGTCCAGACTGCCTAGGAGAAAGTACAGATACAGATTAACAGAGTTGGAAGGGATCTTGTAAGTCATCTAGTCCAACCCCCAGCCCAAACAGGAGACCCTACACCATTTCTGACAGATGGCAGTCCAGTCTCTTCTTGAAAGCTTCCAGCGATGAAGCTCCCACAACTTCCGAAGGCAACTTCTGTTCCGTGGGTTGATTGTTCTCCCTGTCAGAAAATTCCTAGGTTGAATCTCAATCAGTTTCCGTCCATTATTCCTTGTCTAGCCTTCAGGTACCTTGGAAAATAGCTTGACCCCATCCTCTCTGTGGCAGTTCCTCAGATAAAGTAACTCTCATCTTTGTGCTTAGTTCTTCCTCTCAAATGGCTAGCATTTTGGAAAGGAACAGTAGAATCTCTTCCTTGTGAGACAGGTTGCAAAAGTGATTTGCTCCAGATTTTAATAATATCTTCCATAAGAGAGCTGACATTTGGAAACCAGGTCAGTTATAATCCTCAGTGGTAGACAGCCATTGGCCCTAGGGAGGTGACATAAGCAGTCTGATCTTCATATAGTTGTGTTATAAAACCAACCCCTGTATCTTCCTGCATCTTTGGAAAACATTAGTTTAACTTTCTTTTTACCATAAAAGAATTGGTGGAGGCCAGCTGGTACCAGGTACAGGACCCTTGGGGAACATTCTATACTTAAAGAGTTATATTCTCCACAACAGCAACAGCACTTAGACTTATATACCGCTTTACAGTGCTTTTACAGCCCTCTCTAAGCAGTTTTACAGAGTCAGCCTATTGCCCCCAAGAATCTGGGTACCCATTTTACTGACCTTGGGAGGATGGAAGGCTGAGTCAACCTTGAGCCAATCAGGATCGAACTGCTGCTGTGGGTAGAGTTAGTCTGCAATACTGAATTCTAACCGCTGGGAAGGGAAGGGAAGGGGATGGATGGAGGAAGGGAGGGAGGGAGGGAGGGAGGGAGGGAGGGAGGGAGGGAGGAAGGAAGGAAGGAAGGAAGGAAGGAAGGAAGGAAGGAAGGAAGGAAGGAAGGAAGGAAGGAATAGCACTTAGACTTATGTACTGCTTTACAGTGATTTACAACCCTAAGTGGTTTTACAGAGTCAGCCTCTTGCCCCCAACAATCTGGGTTCCCATTTTACTAACCTCAGAAGGATGGAGGGTTGAGTCAACCTTGAGCCTGATGAAATTTGAACTGCCAAATTGCAGGCAGCCGGCAGTCAGAAGAAGTAGCCTGCAGTACTGTACTCTCACCACTGTGCCATCAAGGCTCTTGTTAGCCATATTTTTTGTTTTCTGCATTGGGTCTAGGTCATATTCTATTATGAATGCCACTATTTCCTCGTCTCTCGTGATGTTCACTGATGGGGTGATGGATCGAAGAGCCCAGGAAGATCAAGGACCAGGAGAAACAGGGCCTCTCACAATTTTCTGTCAGAGTATGCAGGTAAGGAAAGTTCACACTTTTGTGAGTCTCCTTCTACCTGCCTCCCGGCTTGAGTAGAGAACTCAAGCCAAGGTAGTTTTTAAGTCCTACTTTCTTCTCGTGGTCAGCCCTTAAGGATTGCCAACACACCTGGACCCCAGAAAAGATGCCTTTTTGTTTGTCGTCACGGAGAAAGAATGGATGTCGTGTTTGGAAAATACTGGCTCTCACAATGTTTTGATACCAAAGGTGAGTTTCTCTCCATTCTACTACATGACGAACCTGTTCATTCCTCTGTGTTTACAGGTAGCTAATTTGGAGTTCAATAATGGGGATTCACCTGATTTGGAAAATGATGGGAAGTAGGTGGGAACAAAAGCAAATGAGAAGGAAGAGAGTGTGTAGGTCCAAAGACCTAAAAGAAAGAACGTATGGTGATTTCTGAGATTCTGGAACTTCCTAGACAGACAGACAGATGCCATGGGAGCCTCTTGCAGACATTTCATTACCTAATTGGGTAACTTCATCAGTTCTAAAAGGGGGTGGGGTTTGCTTTCTGTCTACATACCATGTCTTAACTGATAACAGATAATCAGAGTTGGATGGGACCTTATAGGTCATCTAGTGCCCAAGCAGGCGACCCTACATCATTTCTGATAGATGGCAGTCCAATCTCTTCTTGAAAGTCTCAAGTGATGGTGCTCCCACAACTTCTGTTCCATTGGTTGATTGCTCTCACTGTCAATAAGTTTCTCCTTATTTCCAGGTTGAATCTCTCCTTGTTCAGTTTCCATCCATTATTCCTTGTCTGGCCTACAGGCGCTTTAGAAAATAGCTTGACCCTTTCCTCTCTGTGACAGCCCCTCAAATATTGGAAGACTGCTACCATCTTATCTTATACTTATCTTATACTGTCAGTGTTGGTGAGATGTTCTTGATGGTTCATTGGGCTGTTGTTTACTTGTTAGCTTATTTGTTTGAGTTGGTAGTTGGTAGTTCCTTGATTGTGTTATTGTTTACTGCTTGATTTGTTGTTCATGGATGGAGCGGGGGAGGGAGGGAGGGAGGGAGAGATGATACATACATCATAGAGATGATGATGAAGAGATTGATGATAGATTAGATAGACAGACAGATAGACAGACAGACAGACCTTATCTGAGCCTGGAAGTGGTTTAGAACTGGGGTAAGAAAATACCAGGAAATTCTAAGGCACTAGGCCAAACTGAGAAATTAAAAAAACAGCCTAGAAGAAGACAAAGCCATTTCACTTCTAAATCACTCCCATGAACATTGCATAGTGTCACCTTGAAAAACCATGGTACCAATCCCAAAATGGCCAGGTCATCCCATTAATGTACAAGAGGTGGCAACACTTGGCCAACTTTGGCTGATCTCAAAAGAACACCAAGGACAAACCAAATTATATTTTAGAAGGAGAGGACATCAGCCTCTCCAGCTGTATACACTCAAGGTCAATCCCGCCACCACTCCATCCCCCAGAACTCAATTGGGGGCAAACACTTTCTCTAACGGACCCAAGAAAGCTTCACAGATGCTACCAGGAGTTGAGCTTGACTTTCATCTTGACTTTCATCCTTGGGGAATCTCTTTGTCCAACACTGTTCTCTTTCTCTGAACAGGAAGATACATCCGCACAAATCTGAATATGCCTCACAACTTGCCTCAACGGAGCGGTGGCTTTAGGGAGTACGAAAAGGATGCTCCCATCACAGTGTTGGGATGCACGCAAGCCCGGCTTGTGGGTGAGTTTGCCTGCTTGGGGGTTGGGGCAGGAAGGAGGCACGTTGAAAAGGTGTTACGTTGTCTTTGCAAGCTCTTTGTCTATAGCAGGGGTGTCAAACACAAGGCCTGCGAGCCACATCCAGCCCACAATGTGAGATCCAGCCAGAGGTGGTATTCAGCCAGTTCTGACCAGTTCTGGAGAACCAGTAGCGGAAATTTGGAGTAGTTGGGAGAACCGGCCAATATCACCTCTGACTGGCCCCGCCCCCATCTATTTTCTGCCTCTCATTGAGTCCCTGCTGATTGGCTGGGTCTTCTTTGGTTGCCCTGCACAGGAGAATGGAGCTGGAAAGCAGGTTAAATGGGGTGGGGAGGGAGTGGGAATTTTGCAGTATATCCTTCCCCTGCCACACCCACCAAGCCATACCCACTGAACCAGTAGTAATTTTTTTTTGAATTCCACCACTGTTTATGGGAGGAGCAAAACAAGAAACAGCTGAAGCCACCAGGGAGAAAGGAGAAGGACATGCCCACCAAGCCACATCACGCCCACCAAGACACGCTCACAGAACCGGTAGTATAAAATTTTGAATCCCACCACTGGATCCAGCCCTCGGGGCCGCCCTAGAAAATGTGAGAGGCTGACCCGCATCGCTTTGGCCCGTTGTGCCCAGTGCATAGAGGAAACATGCCATCAATTTGGGGGAGTGGCGTCAAGCTGGCCATGCCCACCCAGTCAGCCACGCCCACCCAATCAGCCACACCCACCCAGCCACACACCCCAGATCAACCACAGCCCTGATGCGGCCCTCAATGAAATTAAGTTGGACACCCCTGGTCTAAAGCAGAGGTCCCCAACCCTGGGCCGTGGCCTGTTTGGAACTGGGCCACACAAGCAGCAGGCAAGCATGCATACGCAGCTCCATTTGCGTGAGTGGTGGGCACTTGTGCACATGCGTGAAGCTGCAATTGTCCGAGTGCCTGCTGATCGTGCCAATGGAGCTGCGTGGGCAAGCATGCCCACTGGGGGGGGATACAAAATAAACACAGTCACAAAAAACAAGTAAAGCCCCTTTTATTCCTTTACTTTGCTTCCAAGCTCCAAATATCCTTGACTGAAGACAAAAAACTCCCACACGAGCAGTTACAAGAAGGAGGAAATGCCGTTTAAACTAAAAATGCCTATAAATTATAAAGAGTAAAAAAACAACACAAACCAGGCAAGATAAGGGCTTGAAGACATCTACAGATATCAGAACACACACTGGGAAGGACGCTGAACTCAGAGAGGAACCATAAACTAGAGATATTTCCATGCTTTGTTTCCAGCAGTCCGCCTGTACGCATGTCCGTCCACTTATTCAGTTGTCACAGCTGCAGCCCATGGAGAGGATCAAGGCCCTCTCCTCCCAAAGAACCCATTCTCTCCCTTATCCTCTCCTCCTTGCATGCCCTAGGATGGAGAGGGGCTGGGCCTGGGTCCTCCTCCGACTGCCCAGACGGCCTCTGCCCTTCCCCGGCCTCCTCCACAACCTCCGGAGCCACACTTCCACTCCCTGTCGGCTGTTCCTCCTCTCCCTCAGAGTCAGTCTCCACCAGGGGCATGACCCCCACCTGCCACTCACACAGAACTATTTCCCCTCCCCCTCTCCCCATCACTCCGCAAAGCCAGAAAGAGAGTGGGGGCTACTGGTCTAAAGCAAGAGTGTCCAACCTTAGCAACTTTAAGACCTGTGCACTTCGACTCCCATAATTCCTGAGCCAGCCATGCTGTTGGACACCCCGATCTAAAGGGCCTGGCACATTCATCCTTGCAGTGCCTTGTGATCCGTTCACTAATGCTCCTGTAGCTGTTGGCATCTCTATAGCACGACGACAGCAAAGCCCCCGTTTTTCACACCTCCTCATGGGCTGCCTTGCTTGCCACTGGCCCAGTTTGGCTACAGCTTTGCCAATTGACAAACATTTGTGCCAATGATGCCAATTGTGTCACTCAGGTCAAACAACGTCACCGGCGGAATGCTATCCCATCTCTTCCCCCTCCCTTAGGAACCCATGAAAATGACTTCTGCAATGTCCTACCGCAAGTCTCACATTTTCCAGAGTGACAATGTGATAACACCGCTCAAAATCACCTCTCGAACTAAGCTTTTAAAAGGAATACCCGTTGGATGGGAACGTTGTTTTTTGCAGCACAATTGCCATCTAGAGGCTAAATGCGGTTACTTGCTTTGCAGGGCACAGTTTTATTGTTGGGTTTGTTCTCAAAAAAATGCAAAAATGGGGAAATGATCTGCCCAAATTTATAAAGACCGACCGTAGCTTATGTGATCAAAGTCCAACTTTGAAATCAGGAATGGCAAAGGAGCCAAAATGTTCTCTCTGGCCAAACTCAACATGAGCTAATTTCCAAATGTCTTCTCTATAAAGTCAAACGAACAGCAACTAGAATGTATTACAGTATAAATAATAATCCAGGTTGTAAGTACCTCCCAGTTCCATCGAAACTTCTAATGGTGACTCAGTGACCATTCGTTAGTTGAGGACAACCTGTTCCAAAGATGATATCCGTAGCCTGTCCCAGAACATCGTGGCTCCTATGGGCACAGTGAAGATTTCTCTTTTTTACTTTTATCCATCTTCAAGGTCTTTTTAGGGTTGGAGGATCACCATTTCCCTACCTTAAAAAGGGTAGGAAATTTGGCCCTTGGTGTGTTGCAGACCCTGCCGTGTCCTTAATTTTGAACCCGTGTCTCAATACAGGTGAGGCTCTCCTTGAAAGCAACACAGTCATCCACCACATCTATTGCTCTCCATCGCTGCGGTGTGTGCAGACCGCACACCATATCCTGAAAGGTAAGTCACTGGGTGGGTTGATGTTGGCTTCCCTGAAGGACACCCATGGCCGAGTCCATCCTAGTGATGAGTTTGAGGGCTTGTTCCTACAGGTCTGTAAAATTATCTTGCCTGGATGTTTAAACCCAGCCAGAATTGTGTTTTATGCACACGTAACAGGCAGTTGATAAAAACATACAGCAAAGAGGCCAAATTTGTTCACCGGAAAGGAAACACAAACAGTTGCAAATGGCATGAAACATTGGCCTCAAATTAAATTTTTATATTATGCTTCTTTCTTTCTTTCTTTCTTTCTTTCTTTCTTTCTTTCTTTCTTTCTTTCTTTCTTTCTTTCTTTCTTTCTTTCTTTCTTTCTCTTTCTTTCTTTCTTTCTTTCTCTTTCTTTCTTTCTTTCTCTTTCTTTCTTTCTTTCTTTCTTTCCCATCCTTTCTTTCCTCCTTCCCTTTTTTTCCTTCCTTCTTTTTTTCCTTTCTTTCCTTCCCCCTTCCTTTTTCTTTCCACCCTTCCTTTCTTTCCTCCATCCCTTTCTTTCTTTCCTTCCCTCTTTCTTTCTTTCCATCCTTCTTTCCCTTTCTTTCCTCCATCCCTCTTTCTTTCTCTTTCCTTCCCTCCCTCCTTCCTTTTCTTTCTCCTTCCTTTCTCTTTCCTCCCTCCCTCCTCTCTCTCTCCTTCCCTCCCTCCTTTCTCAATCACTTTTTTTCTTTTCTTCCTTCCTTCCTTCCCTTCCTCCCTCCCTCCCTCCCTCCCTTCTTCTTTCTCTCTCCTCCCTCAATGTCTCTTTCTTTCTTCTCTTTCCCACTCCCTCTCTCTCTCTCTCTCTCTCTCTCTCTCTCTCTCTCTCTCTCTCTCTCTCATTATTAGGCTTGCAACAAGAAAATAACCTGAAGATTCGAGTCGAGCCAGGCTTGTTTGAATGGACCAAATGGGTACCAGGGAATTCTCTTCCAGCCTGGATCCCACCCCCAGATTTAGCTGCAGTCAATCTGAGTGTCGATACAACGTACAGGTAGGAGCAACAGTTGCAGGCGTTGGGTATGTCTGGTTTAATGAAAAGAAGGACAAATCAAGGAGAGAACCAACCCACAGTTAGAACAATTAACCAGTGGGACCGTTTGCCTCCAGGAGTTGTGAATGCTCCAACACTGGGAGTTTTTAAGAAGAGATTGGACAAACATTTCTCTGAAGTGGTATAGGGCTTCCTGGTTGAGCAAGGGGTTGGACTAGAAGACCTCCACGGTCCCTTTATTCTCTTATTTGTTTGTATTTATTTATTTTGATGGATTCCTGTGGCTGCCCATCTCACAAAGCCAGTTCTTGGAGGTCAATGGAGTGCAAAGTAATAAGGAAAAAAAAACCCAAAAGCAGAAAGACAAGAATGGTAGCCGAGCTTTTCCTTCTTACGATATTTGGATTTTTCACTTTCTGTTTCTTTCTTCTTCTTCTTCTTCTTCTTCTTCTTTTTCTTTTAACCTCCACAGACCTCACTTAGCCGTGAACAAATTAGGAATTTCCGAATCCTATGAAACCTACATCAGCAGAAGTTTTCAGGTCACCAAGGAAATTCTAAGTGAATGCAAAGCTAAAGGCAAGTATAATCCCATCCTGGCGAAGAGAAGAACAGTAACATTAGATTAAGAGAGTCAAATAGTCCTTCACTTACAACAGCTCATTTAGTGACCATTTACAACAGCACTGAAAAAAGCAACTTACGACCCGTTTTTCACACTTACGACCGTTGCCATATCCCCACAGTCACACAATCAAAATTCAAGATGCTTGACAACTGACTCATATTTATGACGGTCACAGTGTCCCCAGGCCATGTGATCCCTTTTTGCGACGTTCTGGCAAGCAAAGTCAACAGGAAAAAACAGATTCGCTTAGCAACCATCGTAAGTCGAGGACTACCTGTGTATGTCACACTGCCACTCAAGATACGGTAGGGTGGGATTGTAAAGACAAGGCAGAAGAGAAAACCATCGTCCTGCTTCACGATAGGAAACTCATGAACATTGTAAACAGACTTTCTCTCTTAAAAAACAGCAGAGCTCTCTATTCTGTTATGTACAAATTTAAGAAAAAAATAAGAAGGGCCGTCCCATGTAAAGAGGCGCTCTTGGGGAAAGATGCACAAGAATTTATTGTTGCTTAATCTCCTCCCAATGACTGTGTGGATCTTGATTTAAACTCATTTAATTTTGGCCAAAATAATTAATCCATTCACGACTAGATAGCTGGTGTCTTCCCCATTTCAAATGTCTCAAACCTTATCTCTACAGTGAGTTGGGTTGGTTGGGTTGGGTTGAGTTAGGTTGCCTTGCATTCTGTTGGGTTTGATTGCATTGTGTTGGGTTGGGTTAGGTTGCATTGGGTTATGTTGGGTTGCATTGTGTTGGGTTGTATTGAGTTGCATTGTGCTGGGTTGTGTTGAGTTGCATTGGGTTGGGTTGGGTTGCATTGGGTTGTGTTGGATTGAGTTGCATTGGGTTGTGTTAGGTTGAGTTGCATTGTGTTGGGTTGGGTTGGGTTGCATTGGGTTGGGTTGTGTTGGCTTGGCTTGCAATGCATTGGGTTGGAAAGACACCTTATGAAAATGGTTATGTTGAATAAAGGAAGGAGAGAACGGAAATTCCACCAGAGATTGTGGAAAATCAAGATAGGAAGAAATTGATTATAAGTAGACACAAAACCATTGTCTGTGTGTAGTGGCTTTCTATTTTCTCAACTTCTCACTATCTTCAGCTTAAAAGGACAGCATCTTGGAGCTACTTTGAACTAGAAAACCCATCTGCCTCATCAAACCCACATCAAAGCTTTGCTTCTGTGCCCCAGAGGGCTCATCCCTGGGAAACTTAAATCTATATGATTCTGTGTTTATTTCTTCTTCTTGTTGTTGTTTTAATTACAGGGAATAACATTTTGATTGTTGCGCACGCATCCTCCCTGGAGGCCTGCACTTGCCAGCTACAAGGACTGTCACCACAGAATTCGAAGGATTTTGTCCAGATGGTCCGAAAGGTGATTGACAGGCTGACAAGATAAAGCTCTTTAGATGTGGTTTTGCTTGTCCCCAGATGAAAATCTTCTTACCGAGTCCAAACATGCTTTATTCAGTCAGGCATGATCCCTAAGCTTATTGTCTGAGCACAAGAACCACATGAGCAGGGAAGATTGCTGGAAAGGGATTGTCTCATACCTCATTTGGACAACCGGTTGATGGGGCCCATGAAATTGTGCACATATATGCACATTTGCAGAGCAATTAATCCTGACTGCCCGTGATAGACTTAGCATTTCGAAAAGGTTATTTCAGCATCCACTTCTCTTTTGCACTTGCATTTTCAACATGTGTGTTGCTTCTGCGCTCCTGAAAGAAAATTGTGATTGTGTAGAGGAAGTGCATGGCTAAAAGGTATTCTCTCCCCTCTCCAAACACAATCTAAATAATATTATTTGACCAATCATACTGAAATCCAGTTACTGGCCTGCGACTTCTTGGCTACAATAGAATAACTTAGAATAGAGTTCAGAGGGACCTTGGAGGTCTTCTAGTCCAGCCCCCTGCTCAAGAAAGAGAACCTATACTATGTCAGACAAGTGACTGTCCAGTCTCTTCTTAAAAACCTCCAGTGATAGAGCCCCCACGATTTCTGGAGGCAAGCTGTTCCACTGGTTAATTGTCCTCACTGTTAGAAACTTTCTCCTTAATTCCATGTTGCTTCTCACTTTGATTAGTTTCCAACCATTGTTTCTTTCCCTGCCCTCTGGTGCTTTGGGGAATAATTTGACTCCCTCTTCTTTGGGGCAGCCCCTCAAATACTGGAATACTGCTATTGTGTCACCCCAATTCTTCTTTTGACTAGCCAAACCCAACTCCTGCAGCCGTTCTTCATATGGTTTAGTCTCCCAAGGCCTTTGATCATCTTAGTTGCTCTTCTCTTCCCTTTTCCCAAGTCTCAACATCTTTTTTTGTAGCATGGTGACCAAAACTGGCTGCAGTAATCCAGGTTTCAGAAGAGGATAAAAAGTTATGATAGAAAGTTTAGAGACCATTGTCTAATGATTAAAGGTAATCCTCAATTTACATCCATTCTGTTCAAGGTTTTTAAGAAGAGATTGGACAACCACTTGTCCGAAATGGCATAGACTCTCCTGCTTGATTGGACTAGAACAGGAGTCACCAACTTTTTGGACCTCAGGGACCACCAAGCTCATAATTTTAAATCCCATGGACCAGAGACCCTGGGAAAATCCCCCAAAAGTCTGCAGGAAAATTCCCCACCCTGTTTTCCTACCGATCCATCATTCTTTATTTGGGATTGTAGGATTCCGTCTCCAGCTCCGTTCTCAGGGGGAGAGAGAGAGAGAGAGACTTTTGGCTCCATGCAAGGAAAGCAGCAAAAGTCTTTCTTTCTTTCCCCCAAACTCCGCCTGAAATGAGTCTTTGTGAGATTTGTCATGCTGGCACAGCCTCTTGGAGCAGGATGCCTTGCAGGGTCCCAAAGACTCATTTCTGGCGGAGTTTGGGGGAGAGAAAGAAAGACTTTTGCTGCTTTCCTTGCGTCCAGCCGAAAGCAGAAGAAGAAAGAAGCGGAAAGAAGCAGCCCAGTGGCCAGGCCACGTGCGTGGGGTGAGTGGGGCAAGTCCCCCGCTCTGCCCTTTCCCCCACTCCCCTTACTACTTTGTGTTGTTCGCAATGCAAGTGACACAAGGCTTGTGTTCCTGTGGGCAGCGCAGCCTTGTGTTCCCACGCAGCCTGGATTAATTGCTTTGGGGGTGACCAAAGAACTAGATGACCTTCAAAGTCCCTTCCAACTTTGTTATTCTGTTAAATATTTTGCTGATGTTTTTTTCCCCCCCTTCAATTCAGATTCCCTACTTGGGCTTCTGCTGTTGTGAAGAGCTTGGAGATACCGGACTTTGGCAACTCAGCGATCCACCCATCCTGCCTCTCACTCATGGACCAACTGGCGGATTTAACTGGAGAGAAACTCTGCTCCAAGAATAAAGCCAAAAAAAGGAGGGGGGGGAGTCAGAAGGACAGGGAAAAAAAGCTTTCTGAAAAACTGGAGCACGTCTCTCACCTCCTCGAGAGTTTTTTTTAAAAAACAAAGAAAGAAAGAAAAAACAAAAAATATTGATGGTGGAGAAAATTATTCCTAACCCTGGAAATGGCTTTAAAAATAACACTTAAGCATATCTGCCACTAAATGGCACTTCTAGGGAAAAAAATAGCAAATATAGCATCTGCTTGGATTGTGGAAAAAATATAATGTATTCCAACTTATTTTCATTCTTTGTCTCTTCAGTCTTCTGTCCAGCAGATAAGTCTCTCTGATGTAAGCCATTGACTTTTAATGTATATCTTTATGTATGTATTT